GTTCCTTTGAGCACTTTCTTTCTTGCACAAGATGGTCCAGGCTCATCTTGTGCCAACTCTGCCCTAGGCATTTTTCCAAGGTGCCCTCAAACCCTTGTTTCAGCACATAGCAGACTGCTCACCTATGTGTCTTTCTCCAGTAGTTGATATTGTATCTCTTAAGGGTATATAGACGTCCGTCTTACTCATTCTTACATGTTCACCCAGCATAAGGCCTGGGACATTCGATGTTCACTGTTTGTTGAATCTAAAATTGATTTTTGCTATAGTTCAGTGATTAAAATTGGATTCCAAAACTATGCTGATGAGTTTTCTTTTTCTCCCTCCACCTAGGAAGAAATGTTGGCTATTTGGCGATGAGAAGTGGTGAGAACTGACCTCATACTGGCACACAAAGACTGTGAAACCTGATACTTTTGCCACCTGGCCAGCTGGCTCCCACTGATAATGTTAGGAAGCCATCAGGTCCACTGGGAAACACTAATCTGATCTCGAAGTGGCTGATTGTGTCAGGATGTGTCGATGATGATGATGGCAAGAAAGCAAGATGTTCGCATCCCCACCTACAACATCAGTGTGGTGGGCTTGTCTGGGACTGAGAAGGAGAAGGGCCAGTGCGGCATTGGGAAGTCTTGTCTCTGCAATCGTTTTGTGCGCCCGAGTGCTGATGAATTTCACTTGGACCATACCTCTGTCCTCAGCACCAGTGACTTCGGTGGGCGAGTGGTCAATAATGACCACTTTCTGTACTGGGGAGAAGTTAGCCGTTCCCTGGAGGACTGTGTGGAATGTAAGGTGCACATTGTGGAGCAGACTGAGTTCATTGATGATCAGACTTTTCAGCCGCATCGGAGCACGGCCCTGCAACCCTACATTAAGAGAGCTGCTGCCACCAAGCTTGCATCAGCTGAGAAACTTATGTACTTTTGCACTGACCAGCTGGGGCTGGAGCAGGACTTTGAGCAGAAACAAATGCCAGATGGAAAGCTGCTGATTGATGGTTTTCTTCTTGGTATTGATGTTAGCAGGGTCATGAACAGGAACTTTGAAGACCAGCTCAAGTTTGTTTCCAATCTCTACAATCAGCTTGCAAAAACAAAAAAGCCCATAGTGGTGGTCCTGACAAAGTGTGATGAGGGTGTTGAGCGGTACATTAGAGATGCACATACTTTTGCCTTAAGCAAAAAGAACCTCCAGGTTGTGGAAACCTCAGCAAGATCCAACGTCAATGTGGACTTAGCTTTTAGCACCTTAGTGCAACTCATTGATAAAAGCCGGGGAAAGACAAAAATCATTCCTTATTTTGAAGCTCTCAAGCAGCAGAGCCAGCAAATAGCTACGGCAAAAGACAAGTATGAGTGGCTGGTGAGTCGCATTGTGAAAAACCACAATGAGAATTGGCTGAGTGTCAGCCGAAAGATGCAGGCCGCTCCTGAGTACCAGGACTATGTCTACCTAGAAGGGACTCAGAAAGCCAAGAAGCTGTTTCTCCAGCACACCCACCGCCTCAAGCACGAGCATATTGAGCGCAGAAGAAAGCTGTACCTGGCAGCCCTGCCACTAGCTTTTGAAGCTCTTATACCTAATCTAGATGAAATAGACCACCTAAGCTGCATAAAAGTCAAAAAGCTCTTGGAGACCAAGCCAGAATTCTTGAAGTGGTTTGTTGTGCTTGAAGAGACACCATGGGATGCCACCAGCCACATTGACAACATGGAGAACGAGCGCATTCCCTTTGACTTAATGGATACTGTCCCTGCAGAGCAGCTGTACGAGGCCCACTTAGAGAAGCTGCGGAACGAGAGGAAAAGAGCTGAGATGAGAAGAGCATTTAAAGAAAACCTGGAGACTTCTCCCTTCATAACTCCTGGAAAACCTTGGGAAGAGGCCCGTAGTTTTATTATGAATGAAGATTTCTACCAGTGGCTGGAAGAACCTGTTTACATGGATATTTACGGCAAACACCAAAAGCAAATTATAGACAAAGCAAAGGAAGAGTTTCAGGAGTTGCTTTTGGAATATTCAGAATTGTTTTATGAGCTGGAGCTGGATGCTAAGCCCAGCAAGGAAAAGATGGGTGTCATTCAGGATGTTCTGGGGGAAGAACAGCGATTTAAAGCATTACAGAAACTCCAAGCAGAGCGTGATGCCCTTATTCTGAAGCACATTCATTTTGTGTACCACCCAACAAAGGAAACATGCCCTAGTTGCCCAGCCTGTGTGGATGCTAAGATTGAGCACTTGATTAGTTCTCGGTTCATCCGACCATCAGACCGGAATCAGAAAAATTCACTCTCTGACCCCAACATTGATAGAATCAACTTGGTTATCTTGGGCAAAGATGGCCTTGCACGAGAGTTGGCCAATGAGATTCGAGCTCTTTGTACAAATGATGACAAGTATGTGATAGATGGTAAAATGTATGAGCTTTCCCTGAGACCAATAGAAGGGAATGTCAGGCTTCCTGTGAACTCTTTCCAGACGCCAACATTTCAACCCCATGGCTGTCTCTGCCTTTACAATTCAAAGGAATCTCTGTCCTATGTGGTGGAGAGCATAGAGAAGAGTAGAGAGTCCACACTTGGCAGGCGAGATAATCATTTAGTCCATCTCCCCCTGACATTAATTTTGGTTAACAAGAGAGGAGACACGAGTGGAGAGACTCTGCATAGCTTGATACAGCAAGGTCAGCAAATTGCTAGCAAACTTCAGTGTGTCTTTCTCGACCCTGCTTCAACTGGCATTGGTTATGGACGCAACATTAATGAAAAGCAAATCAGTCAAGTTTTAAAAGGACTCCTGGACTCCAAGCGTAACTTAAACCTGGTCAGTTCTACTGCTAGCATCAAAGATCTGGCTGATGTTGACCTGCGAATTGTCATGTGTCTGATGTGTGGAGATCCTTTTAGTCCAGATGATATGCTCTTTCCTGTTCTTCAGTCCCAAACCTGTAAGTCTTCCCATTGTGGAAGCAGCAACTCTGTTTTACTTGAACTGCCAATCGGACTACACAAGAAACGCATTGAGCTGTCTATTCTTTCATACCATTCCTCTTTTAGCATCAGAAAAAGCCGATTGGTCCATGGGTACATTGTTTTTTATTCAGCCAAACGTAAGGCTTCCTTGGCTATGTTACGTGCCTTTCTTTGTGAAGTGCAGGATATTATCCCCGTTCAGCTGGTTGCACTCACTGATGGCGCTATAGATGTCCTAGATAATGACTTAAGTCGGGAACAGCTGACTGAGGGGGAGGAGATTGCTCAAGAAATTGATGGAAGGTTCACTAGCATCCCCTGTAGCCAACCCCAGCATAAACTTGAGATCTTCCATCCCTTTTTTAAAGATGTGGTGGAGAAGAAGAACATAATCGAGGCTACTCATATGTACGATAATGCTGCTGAGGCCTGTAGCACCACGGAAGAGGTGTTTAACTCCCCCCGGGCAGGCTCTCCGCTCTGCAACTCAAACCTGCAGGATTCAGAAGAGGATATCGAGCCCCCTTCTTATACCTTGTTTCGAGAAGACACATCACTGCCCTCTCTGTCCAAAGACCATTCTAAGCTTTCTATGGAACTGGAGGGAAATGATGGGCTGTCATTCATCATGAGCAATTTTGAGAGTAAACTGAACAACAAAGTACCTCCACCAGTCAAACCAAAGCCTCCTGTCCATTTTGAAATTTCAAAGGGGGATCTGTCTTACTTAGACCCAGGCCATAGAGATGGACAGAGGAAGTCTGTGTCTTCTAGCACCTGGCTACCTCCGGATGGGTTCGATCCTTCTGATTATGCTGAACCCATGGATGCTGTGGTCAAACCAAGGAACGAAGAAGAGAACATATACTCAGTGCCCCATGACAGTACCCAAGGCAAAATCATCACCATTCGGAATATCAACAAAGCCCAGTCCAATGGCAGCGGGAATGGTTCTGACAGTGAAATGGACACCAGCTCTCTGGAGCGAGGCCGCAAGGTATCCATGGTGAGCAAGCCAGTGCTGTACAGGACGAGGTGCAGCCGGCTGGGGAGATTTGCTAGCTACCGAACCAGCTTTAGCGTGGGGAGCGACGATGAGCTAGGACCCATCCGGAAGAAAGAGGAGGATCAGGCATCCCAAGGTTATAAAGGGGACAATGCTGTCATTCCATATGAAACAGACGAAGACCCGAGGAGGAGGAATATTCTTCGCAGTCTGAGAAGGAACACTAAGGTAAGACACCAGTTTAGGAATGAGTCATAGGAGTGGCTTGCACAGGGTCTCAGAGGAAGTTGACTGATGATGACAATGATATTCAAGGACAACTTATTCTGGTAAAAAACAGACAAACAAACAAAAACTGCTCTGAGTGTGTGTGCGCGTTAATTTTTGAGGATAAAAAAGGAAGCAGCATCTCAGATAGCTACTCCTGGCGGCTCTAAAGTAGTAAGGACCGTAAATAAATAGCCAGAGTTGTCTTTATCCAAAACAATAGTTGGGTACTATTACCAAAATGAACAGATTGTTTAAAGCTTGTCAGTGTCCTGACAAGTAGCCAAGCCAGTGAACAGTATGCTCGCTCTTCCTTCAAACACCAGAATCTAAAATTGCTTGCCTTGCTTAGTCTCTGACTCTTCCACAGACGTTTCAGCCATACATCTCTGAACTGCTCCCTCTTCCCCTTGCTGATCAGTAAAGGTTGCTGCATTTTAGATTGGGAAAAATTGGATGATTATTTTATTTGCACACACAAATCAGTGAAGGGTCTTCAAGTACATAAATGAAAACTAAGAACCTTGCACTTCGAGCTATAAACCTGTCCCATGTATGTAAAATTGGAGTGCCCTCCAGCTCCGTCATTTTAAGTAAGTCACTGCTGCTCTCAGTGAGAGCTTCACATTTGCTTAGGGAGCACAAGTGGGGCAGGGAGGGGAAGAGAAAGAAAAGGTAAAGCGTGTGTATTATGAATGCCAGGCCTGCTGTCAGCCAGCTTCAAATGCAGCAGGAGACGAAGTCTTCATCTTGTGTAGAGTTGCAGTGTGCGGGACAGGGTGCCCTGACTCCTTTGGCTTAGGCTTTGAGATTGAAAGGGTATTTCCCAACTCTTTCTCTTCTGCCCCATTTAGAGTAGGCATATATACCCTTTGATTTTCAGAGAAAGACGTCTTGGTGAAACAGCGCACCAAAACTGTGTGGTCCTTGCTAGCTCCCGACCAGCACTGTAGTGTACAGAATGATCTCTGCATAGAAAGCTTTTCCTCCTCTCCCTGCAAGGAAACAGCAGAGAATGAAGTCATTTGACAGTATGTCAGGGAACTTGGGAAGAAACGTTGTCAAAAACTTAACATAATTATAAGACATAACAAATCAGAAGGATCTAGAATACAGGCTATTTGAGAGTTCACAATTCTGTTGTGAAATATCACCTGGAGGCTAGTTCTGCAGCTCTTACTGGTTAAGAGGGCCCTGGAGATGGGGGAACATGGTGCCAAAGCCCTCACGAGGAAAATGTACTCACTTTGTGTTCCTAGATAGCATAGAGTGCTTCTTGGTCACCATTGGTTGGAGCTTCCAGAATTTTCTTACCAATGCAGTTTCAGAAAGGGCAGGGTAGTATTGTTGTGTGTTCGCCCCCTCTGAACTGAATGCTAATAAATATCATAGGCATTTTCCTCCTGTTTGATTGTCCTTCTTTAGTTTGTTTTTCCACTTGGATTCTTTCATCTGACAAATATTTTGTTCTCCAAAGGTTAGTAGTGGGTAGACCCGTCAAAAATTGTTCTTATTTAGGAAGCCAGAAAGGTGCCTGACAGTATTTCCTCAAAGCTCTCCTGTTTAGTGATACTGGAATCCAAACATTTTGAATGTTCTGACTTTCTTCTCCTCCTCCTCTACTCCCAAGGAAGACTGTTGCCAGAACAGCTTATGCTGACAGTCTTCTAATTTGTGGGGGTGTTTGCACACCTGGGAATTAGGAAGGTAGCATAATAGCACACTGTGAATTATAATTGTTTTTCTGACTTGTAGCAGCATTTTTAATGTGTATTGAAAAATGCTTTTAAAATGCATTCTCAAACAAGCCATGCTTTAAAGAGCACATACAGTAGTAGGCTCAGCAGGTGAACCTCTGAGATAGCTGCGTTCACACAGGTAATGACTCCCCTTACCTCAGAACTCATTTACATTGAGTTGCTGGGTCAGCATTTGAGAAGTGGTCAACTTCCCATCCATCTTACTTATGTGGGCCACACCTCTTCAAGTCAAATAAAAATGATACCTCTGGCCCAGGAGCCGTAGCGTGCCAGAAGTCAGTCTAGGAGTATCCTTTGGAAAGAGTGAGTAAAGGTGAAATTTCTTTTCCTGCCTTGGAAAATGGTGCTTTGATTAGTTTAGCTGCTTTGTCATCCTAATGCAGAGATAAGCAAAGCCTTCATTTTCTTCCCGGTCAGAGCAAACCTCCTATTAAAGTTGCTGCCATTAAGAATGCAGA